GGTTACTATTGTATACTCTTAAAATGATATACCACATGTTTGGCATAGGATAGTTGCTAATCTAGATGGATAGTTATAATTAACTTGATGACGGAACTATAATTGTATAACTGAGTTAATCGCTTTTTATGCAAAATGTTGTCAAGCTACCTTCACTTATAAAGCCTTGCATAATCCTTAGAGTCAATTTATTTCTGGTTTACGACGGGTAAGTCTAGCTGAGTACCTTCTCGTACTCAAGGTTTTATTCCTAATATTACTGATGGTACCATCTATCATGGATATTGCAAGAATTGCTTCTATCCCGCCGTGGATGAGGTGTGAGCCTTGGGCGGGCATCTTTAATAATCCTTCTATCATGCTTTTGTGGATTGTGATCATATGTTGGCACTGTATTTGAACTATGTTGACAAATGCTACTTTTGAACTTTAATTTGCTTCCGTTACTATCTATCAAACTTGGTTTGTAATAACTTTATTTTTACTCTAATGATGAAACTGTATCTGTGAACTTTATGTAATATGTGACATGTATGTTGAATTATGTACGATCTTGGTTGTATGTGGATCGTTTATCGAGACCCGTCGTGGTACTCGATAGACTACCAGGTTTATATGGGCTCAAGTATGACAGTGCGACCGCTTGCGGGCTGCCATTGTACTTGTGCTCTTATAAATTGGTCGGTTCTGCGACACCAGCCCCTGGACATTGGGTGAGGTGGAGACAGCCTTCGAACATCGGGCGAGGTGGAGTCTGCCCTCAGGGGTCGGGCGAGGCGGAGTCTGCCCTCAGACGTCGGGCGAGGCGGAGCCAGCCTCCGAACATCGGGCGAGATGGAGTCTGCTCTCAGACGTCGGGCGAGGCGGAGCCAACCCTCGGGGGTTGGGCGAGACTGAATCTTCCCTCAGACATCGGGCGAGGCGGAGCCTGCCCTCGGGGGTCGGGTGAGACGGAGTCTGTTCTCAGACGTCGGGCGAGGCGGAACCGGTCCTCGAGGGTCGAGCGAGACGGAGTCTGCCCTCAGACGTCGGGCAAAGAGGAGCCAGCCCTCGGGAGCCAGCTCGAGGCGGGGCCCATGGTCTCGGTCGATGGACGAGGAGTGATCCGGCGAGCGGTGTAGTCGCGCTCTCGATCACGCGGATGAATCAACGTTGATGGTCTTTAGCTCCTCCTCTTCGGGTACCCTATTATTGGTCCCCCACACTAATTATGTTGAATCTGATAGGTGTTTTGTGATTGGTAACCAGTGATTCAGAGACCCAGATGCACCGACATCATTTGGAATTTGCAAATTGCGATTTAATTGAGTATTCGAATATTCATTCTGCTAGGCACTTACTCCCTAAGGTAGTGTATAATTGTTTAATCTTTGTGAATTTTTTCTTTATATAATTGTTTAATCTTTGACTAATTGTTTCTCTAAATTTTAACAGTGCCAAGTCACCAAGAAAGTATGCTTATGGCAATGGCAAAAGAAAGAAGAAAAAGCATTATTGACACCATCATAGTTGGCTTTGCATCAAGGAATGTAAGAAATTTTTGGAGGTAATTTAATATGTATACAAATTATTTTATATGAATATTGCTTTTGTATTCAGTTAACTGCTTATTAGTAATATTCCATATATGTGTATATATACTACAATGAATAGTACTAATAGTATTATCATATTTATATAAAAGGTCCAAAATTTTAGTTTTGATCTAGGTAAAAAAACCTGGACCGGCCAGTGATGGCTTTTCGTTTTCTTCCGAGGTCCTTTATATAATATGGCTGCTTTCTTAATGTAAATATATCTGTCAGTTATAAAAAAATTATATTGATCTTCACTTCAACTCTTTAATAGTTGAGCTATTTTCACACATGCACGTGCCATCTCTCCTCTATGGTCTTTATGTTTTGCTCAACCTAACTTGTGGACTAATCACCTCTTCATTTCACATGAAACCTTATTAGCAAACTTGAAATTCGCACTAAGTCTATTCGGCTCTGAAAACATAGCTCCAGAGCAGGTGCTCCAACATTGAGCAGCTCTACGGTGGAGCTGACCTCCCACAAAACCATTTGTTAGAGCTCCAACTCGTGGAAATGGCGTAGGGGTGCCAGCTAGCCTCGCGGAGACGGGAGGAAGATGAACACACGAAACATAAAGAAAAAAAAATCTAACCAATATGTGTGTAATGGATGACATTGATGAGTAGTTTTCACCAACTCCATGAAATTAGAGTTTTCATAGCACCCCTTGAGGTGCTCCGTGGATTTGATGGATCTGGGAGCTAGATCCGCGTTTTTGGCAGATTTGGAGTTCACGGAGGTGAGGCGTTCGGCTAGACAAATTAGGAGTAAAGCTATTTTTTAATCTAGAGCTACGTGGAACTCTATCAAACACCCCTAAATTAATAAAACTAAATCTCCATACTTGGATTATATAGCGTGCTCCGCTTCGCATAGGAATATAGACTCTCTGGCAAGACTTTATTTGGTGGTACTACATGCCGTAACCCTATGGAGCTAATGGAGTAACTTAAGTTTGCAAAAGAGTCCATCTGTGATAAGTCTCAAATATATTGAATGTGCATGAACAGTCTGAGGCACAAAAGTATTTTTATTAAATTAGATCAAACTTTTTATTAGCCTATAATATACTATCTCCGTCTAAAAAAATATAAATCTCGTTTTACAGGAGTCAAAGAATCTTTAGTTATCTCTGGCTAAATTTATTATGAAAGTATCAATACTTTTTTATATGTATCTGGTCAAAATTAAGAACGAGTTACCGGAAAGCGAGATTTACTTTCTTTGTTAAGACAGAGATAGTAAGCAGTTTCATGCTCTAAAGTTTAGAGTGGCTAAAATTTAGTGTTAACTTAACGACAATCGATTTTAACCCACGGAAGCCCTCCCTCTTGATTTCGCATTTGGTGCTCCCCGGCAGCTGCGAGCGCCGCCGCCATTCACTCCCTTCCTCGGGGCGGACTGATTTCTCTGAGGACTCTCTCTCCCTTCCTTGCTGGCGATGAGGAGGCACGGGTGGCAGCTACCCTACCATCCTCTCCAGGTCCGCTTCTTGCGTCGTGCTTCTCCGTGGCGTTCTCCTTGTTGTTGCTGCCTTGTTTCTGATGTGGGCAAGTGCTGCAGGTGGTGGCGATAGCGGTCTTCCTGGCGTTGGGATTCACTTTCTACGTCTTCTTCGTTCCCTTCGTTGGGGGAGATAGGCTGCAGTATTTGCTCATGGGCCTCTACACCCCACTGGTGAACAGCTGCCATCATTGTGTTGTCCCCCTTCTGTTTCAAACAGCCCTCTTGTGTGTGTGACCCTTCTTTAGAGTGGTTACTTAGATCTACATTTCCCTTTTGTGCTCTTCACCTCTGTGTCTTTCTTTACCTCTTTAGTATGTGCAGTGAGGAGTATGCTATGCTTTGGTAGTTGATACAAATATTAATGTGTCATCATATGAACAAACATAGAAAACACAAGCACAACTAACAGTAACAGAGTCCTTTCGCCTACAGTGTATGTTGAGTAATGAAGCCAAATTTATCATTTCAGGTTAGTGTAGGTCACTATAATATGTGTGTGCATGTGCTGATTGTAACACTGTGCAATCAGTGGCAAAACTTGCTCACATTGGAATTGGGCCTCTAATGTTCTTATAACAATCCAAGAGAAAGCAAATAGAGGTTCTTCCCATCATTATTTCCACCAGAGCTTTCTTTCTTTTGCAAAGGATTATTCCAGTCCATGAAAAGGGAAACGATCCAGTTATTTCACACTAAGCAATGTGAACTTCATGTCAAGGTTGACTACTTGTCATGGTTAAAGTGGAACATTTTTTACTTGACAGAACAGTGGTATTGATGTTTCCTGTTAGTATGGAGCAATCTGTGCTTATAATTTGATGCCTCTATCCTTAACTTATTGTGGCTGGAAGTGTCATTAATCAAACATCTGAGCAATGAATCAGATGAAAGCTTTCTATCTTTGCTTCTGCATTGCAATTTGATTAGTAACCGTTGCAAGACATTTTGCAGATCACCTGTGTTGTCTTGTTATATATATGGTGCGCTGTTACAGATCCTGGTGATCCAGGCATTTTCGTAAAATCGAAAAGACCATCTGAAAGAGAGTCATTCAGCAATGGTTGCAGTGCTGTTAATAACAGTGAGAAGTTAAGCAATATTTTTGAAGGAAAGGATTCATCTTCATACCTGACATTTACCAGGCTTCTTTGCTTGATATGCTTCCCATTTTCTTGCTTATGCAAAAGATGGTTCCACTTGGATGATCAATCTTAAGAACAGAACGCAAGTGAAGGCATGTTTTTCTGCAGCTTGTGTGAAGCAGAGGTATGTCACCAGATTTATCTCTCTTTCAAAATTAGTGTTGCAACTTGATCATTGAAATATTCCTCTTCAGCTCCTCATGTGTACAGTTTCTCTTAAGTCCATTGTTAAATGAATTTTCTCAACAAACAGATGATATACCTTTCCGAAGCCACAAAATAGTCACAGCTCCACAGCATTTTGAGTTGTGATTTGCTAGGACTAGGACTCCCTGCAGTTAAAAATAAGTGATGTTTTGAGGTTATCAGAAGTCAACTACTCCCTCCTTTTAAAAATTGTAAGATGTTTGAGTCAAATTTCTCTAGCTTTGACTAAGTTAAGAAAAATGCACCAATATCTATAACATCAGTTAGTTTCATATCCACCATAAAATTGAAAATGCATTTATTTGTACTGTAAATGTTAATATGTATTTTCTATAACCTCAGCCAAAGTTTGACTAAGGACAAAACTGAAACATCTTACATTTTGGAGCTGGGGGAATGTTCCAAACTTTGAATTTTTATCATAACATATGCATAAAATATAGAAAAGTCTACATTATGAAACTGCCTTTCAAGATGAATCTACTTGTGTCACTTCCAAAGACTCAAACTCAATGTGTTTGTAATCAAAGTTTGGAACGATTGCCACTTATTTGCATCTGGAGTTACTATGGCTATTTTACGCAGGTGTTGCAGCACAGTAAGCATTGTAGGGTTTGTAACAAGTGTGTTGATGGCTTTGACCACCACTGTAGGGTAAGATTTCTTCCATAATTTTGTTTTTAAACATTGTCTTTCTTTTAAAGAAATGTTATTTTAACTAATATTCTGTAGTTGTGTCATCTAGTGGCTCAACAATTGCATAGGGAAAAGAAACTACAAAAGATTCTTCATCCTAATGGCTTCAGCAGTTCTCTTGGTAAGTACAAACAACCATCAAAAGCTTTGACAAGCATTAGGATGTAAACAGTTACTCCATGAGTATTAATTGTGTTTTTCCTTTTATTACAAACAATGCAACAGTAAAAATCCAGAATCAAGTAGGCACCATGTAGTCAGCATTGCTGTTCCATGGCCTTATTATTCTAGTTGATCATTGACTGGTCTGCATGGTTTGTACACGAACAGCTTATAATGAAGTGGTTAGTGGGTTCTCTTGTGTTGATTCTTTTCTTTATGAAGCGGGGAGAGTTCTCTGGGCAGATCATTTCAAAACTTGGAAGCAGCTTCTCAACTGTGGCTTTTGAAATTGTCGTGGTGAGTTTATTTAATAAGGAAACTTTCACACATTATTTTCTCATTTGTAGTCAGTACCATAGATAGACAGTTATTTTTGATATCTCAATTGCATTAGCTGATGTTCCTATTGTTCTCTCCATGTACTATTGAAACCTAGGCTGGTTATATATTGGTTGCACATAAACTGTTGTTTTCATTCATTTTGTTAAAATATGATGAATAAAAAATGGAATTTTAATTGTGAAAAATATCCTCTATACAGTGCTATTAACTAGCTGAGAACAAATTTTACGGCATTTTAACAGAAAATTACTTTTGTAGGTGACATGTACGTTACTAGCGATGGTTGCAACAATACCACTCTCACAACTTCTATGCTTCCACATTCTTCTTATCAAGAAAGTGAGTCCCTCAGTAGCCATCCATCTAAACAGTCAATGCTATATTTGAGAAACGAGAATGACTTTTTGTTTCATATTCTACATTTCCTTTGGTTTATATATAACTATCTGTAATATATTATTGAAGTATAAGTGAATTGCCCACCTTTTCCTATCAATTTAAGTGGTTGGGTTCTACTGGTTGGTGCATGCAACTAAATATGGTATGAGCGCCGGAGGTCTCATAGTCCAAATCCTAGCAGGCACAATTAAATAAAATAATTACAGCTGACTCCTATTTCCACATTGCAGACCTGAGGAAGCCTTGCCCACCTATTTCTATTAGCTTAAGCTTTTAAGTGGAACCTATCTCCTGTATCTCCTGGAGTTTTTAACCTTCCATCTTATCTGAAAGTTCATAACTATTGTTTCAAACTGCGAGAATTATAAAATCCAATTGGCTTCTCTCTCCACTTACGTTGCCTCTATTGATAAATAGGTAGAGTTTTCATATCTTAACCGCACTTTTTTATTTATGCATATGCTGATAGAGAGCCAACTAAAATAATATATTTAACTTGCTGGAAAGGATAATCAGTTTTAAATTAAATTCTTGGAGAGAGCATGTTTGAACTTCTTAGTTCCTTGTAAGCATGACTTCTTTAGTTACAACCTAAATGTCTTACTTATCCTTTATCTTTCAGGCTGAATTCAAGTAAAATTCTAATTATCACATTTCCCTTGACAACATGAATGCAGGGAATCAGTACATACGATTACATTGTAGCTTTGAGAGAGCAAGAACAACAAGAACATTCTGAGCACCAGAGCCCACAGATGTCCATCATTAGCTCTGTCACAAGACTTAGTACTACTAGCTCTTTCGGTCCGCTTCATCGCGGATCATGGTGTACTCCACCAAGACTATTAGTTGAAGATCAGGTACGATCACTACCACATCAATCAATCAAGACTAGTCTGTTGATTTATTCATTTTTCTTTGTGAACTGACCAGTACGCAGAACTAAGAGGCAACAATTTTTAAATTGCTATACTAGCTTTATGTGGCTCTCGTTTGGCCATCTGTAGGATATACCCACACTTGATTGGGACTAAAAGCCATTGTTGACTTTGTACTTCATGTGATCTTCTAATTGTGACTGTAAGTTGGATTAGGCACAACGACTAGAAGATTGATTGTGGATGATGTGAAGGTACAGACATATTGGCAAGGATGACCTAGGTTTGTAGCAATCAGTGGTGCACCTAGGATTTTTGTATGGGGTATGCCGCGCTAAAATTTTTACAATGTGGTTTGGTAAATTCAATTAGCAATTTGTTAAACAACCCTAAATTTTGCCCCATTATTTGATATACAAGTACTAAATTGCACAGTAAATTTCAAATTTAACTAATTTACCATGTCTTAGTAAGAGCCAGTCCTGAAATTCAGGGCCCGGGGCAAACAATTATATAGAGGCCCTCTTTCACCTCATACTTATTCCATGCACTAAAATAACCTTGTTTCACCTTAAAGTTCATATAAAGACTTATATAAAATAAAAACTTACTTTGTCACTTAATAGTGATTATATAAGTAGCAATTCAGAATTTGAGATCACCGAAGGAGCTCAGTAGGCTTGAAACAGTATCTTTGTCCACAGCTGAATGACTTGTAATTTGTAAATTACGAGATATTGTTTTGTGAGTTGTGATGCTAAAAAGAAAAAGATAGGATAGGAGTCAGAGTCAATCAGCGGTCGTTCTCTCGACGAGTCATCCAATCAATCAACAATTCAAATGTTCAATTTAATTTTAGACAGGCTGTGGCCTGGACTCTTAGGGACGATGGACGTACATGCACATGATTAGGTACACGGCGTGGAGACAAAGGTACACGTACTGGGTCGCGGCGTTAGCCGTTGTGCTCGCGGTGTCGCGACTTGCCGGTGTGTTGCATACTTGCATTGTGTGATCGGCCGACGGCCGCTGTCTGCCAATCGCATCTATTTTCTTAGGGTATGTTGGGCCACCCTCAGACATACTGCTGGGTCCGCCCATGATAGCAATAGAACCAATCAATGGTGACCCTTGTCTATTAGAGGTCAATCAATCTATCCTAGCCATATAGAGCTTGAAGGTCCAGTAGGGGCGCACAGGCCCTGCAGTTGAAGTGTCAGCGCTGCAGACGTTGAGACTGGACCTAAATTTGGTGAAGACGGAGGTCCGAAGACCTTTGGTGAAGAATCATCGAACTGCGATGTTGTGGGGCCATGCAGAACCTTGATGTCACCAAGAGCCACGCGCTCACGGACGAAGTGAAGATCAATCTCGATGTGCTTGGTGCAGTTGATCTCCCTAGTGCTGACCACCAGTTTAAACAGGGCTATATTGGTATTTTTGCAATAGAATAATATTAAATATTTTACAACCATTTTCATATATATAGAATAGCAATGATCGAAGTACATCAGAGACTATGTAGATGTTGAAAATTTCATGTTTTTAATAGTAACTAGCAAACATGCCCATGTATTGCAATTGGACGTACAATTTGTGCGGTGCTCGTGCCAATGCTAATGAGCTAGCTATTTTTTGTTGGATTCAACTGCTCTTGGACAAGCCTTAAATCAAATAAATTTCGAAACCCACAATAAATGCTAGTGTAATACATGATTTATCTTGTATGGGAAATTGATAGGAGATTGGCTCCACTAAAGTAGGTGGCTATTCTATGCACTTGCTGTGAGTTTAAGAAAGTTAGAAGGTTGCCACCGGCACGTGTGCTGCGATGAAATGGGCTCAGGCGGCTAGACCATAATGTGAGTGGTGCGGTGCCAACTAATTGGAGCTCCAAATGTAATCTTGTTTATCTTCTTTGTTTCTTTTTTCGCTTCTTGAGCTGTTGTATGTTTGTACTCTTTGTCTCTTTGTTTTAATAAATTTCCAGTAGGGGCAACCCCTCCTTTTCCCTTAAAAAAAACAATAAAGTGAGAAGGGCGAGATTGAGGAATGACTAATCGTGGGACGAAAGAGCAGTGAGGGATGAGCGGAGAAGAGAGTGAGAGATAGGCAGCTCCAAACTCAATGTGAGATTTGTGAGAGTGAGTGCAAAGAGTAGTGAGGGACAGATGGAGAGAGTGATAGACGGAAGAAAGAAATTTTCGGTTTTTGCTCTTCAATACTAGGTATAGATATATATCTCACGTACTCAATGCTCATCCCATTTTTCTGCAGGATGTCTCTCATCCAGACATGCCACAGAATTCCACTGGCAAGAAGGCCAGGAAAGACGAAGGAACCAAAAGGAAACCTCCAGGAGCTGTAAAAATCAGCCCATGGTCACTGGCTCGCCTCAGTGCAGAGGAAGTATCAAAGGCAGCTGTAGAGGCCAAGAAGAAATCTAAAGTACTCCAGTCGATCACAAGGCGGGGGAATATTCTTAAGCCTGACAATAGAACAGACAAAAGCATGGTGTTACTACCTGTACCTGAACGATCTCTGGATCCCATGGCAAGGACATCTGCGAGTGGAACTGACTGCAACTTCAGCGACATGGTCATGGAAACACCTGACAGCTTAGTCCCGTTGCAGCACGAGGCCAGGAGTGCCTTCCAACCTAACTGCAACTTCAGCGACATGGTCATGGAAACACCTGACAGCTTAGTCCCGTTGCAGCACGAGGCCAGGAGTGCCTTCCAACCTAGTGCTGCATTGTCCATCAGGAACCTCAACCTTACTTCGTCACCAGAGAGTAGCTTGGAGTCACCTGATCTCCACCACTTCCGTGTCTCTATGTCAGGAGCCGATGAACTCCAAAGCTTCATGTCACTTGCAGCCTCAGAGTCGACTGCTCAGAAGAGTATTACACTTTCGAGGTCGACAAGTGGTGGGTATGAAGCCTCAGGAGGCGAGGACCGCGACCGAATACCCTCTAGAATTGTGCACCGGTCGTCCAATTGGACAAATGTCATTCTTAATTCAGGTAGGCAGGAAACTATGTCCAATCTGAGCTTGCCTACATCTGTAGGGTTCATTACTAACACCAGGCTGACCTAGCTCAAAATTGTGTTGCTAAGAGTTGTTGACTTTTTAATTAGTTATGTGTTGTTAGCCTGTGACCATGCATTGGTCAGAACCAGTGTTGGAAACCTAGTTTTGGGTTTTAGAGTCGGGTACAGTGCTACTACTATATTCTTCTTATTCTTAATGTTTTGCAATCAATGGATACATGTGCCTCTTCAAGCTGGCTATTCTTACTCTTACCATTGTTTACGGTTACTTGATCTGAATTTACTCCACGGCTAGGTTTGCTTGACCATTGTCATTGTTTTCTGATCTGACACATTATAGCCTTATAAATAAAATTCTTTCATTATGTTTAGGGTTTATATAAATTTGGCATACAATCTTATAATTCATTTTGTTTATGAAAATTTGGAATAATATGACATTTAAGCCTTCAACAAAATTCTTTCCTTATGTTGCCTTGATCAGATCTGACGATTTGTCACGAAGAACAAGTATAAATATGAAAGGGATCCTAATTTTCTATTATAACCTAATAGGACTCTTGTATTCTTACCCATGTTTTCAAGTCTAATTGTGATTTTGTCCTCATTTAACTTTGTGATTTTGCCCCTGCTTTTCTAAAAAGATGGTAGAGTTTATCCTTGTTTCATTTAGAGGAGTTAACATTGTAAGTTCAACTATAAAATACTAGTTTTCCCACGTGAATTTGCCCCTAGGTTTTTTAGTACTATGTGACTTTAACCTCTATTTTGACACAATATTTAGATAACATTTTAAAATAATTTATAGAAAATTTTGCAAATATTTAAAATTTAAGCAAAATTTAACATGTTTAATCAACCATTAGCAAAATCTGAGAGGGTTAGGTGAAGGTTAATGGTTAGTATCATCTTTTAATTTTTTTTTCAGTTTTTTCTTTAATTTAATTATTTGACATTAATCTAATAGAGTCTATAGTCTAAAATAGGGGTGAAAGGTGGATTGATATTTTAAAACTGACGGTAAAATCATACAGTTGAAAAGATGAGGTTAAAATAACAGTTGGCCTTTAGAGTAGGGATAGGAACACCAATCTCCCTGAGCTAATATTATCCTAGTTCAGTCACCTCTTAACTAGCTTCAGCAATTGGTCTCAAAAAATTATGAGGAGAAATCAACTTAAGCTACATATTTCTTTTGCTTCCTAAGGGCCTATCTAGGTATTCACAACCCATTGAGCATGTTAGTATAGAGTGTATTAAGCCCAATGCTGCCGTCTATCAGGACCTTCGTCATTCGCATACTTCCTACCATCGACCAGAAGTGGGAAATGGCCGGGATGTGGAATATGGTCAGAGTGATCACACTTGTTAGATGTGATTGTTGACTTCGACCACTTTAAGTAAGTTGGCTTCCGGTTGTAATGAGTAGACGACTTGGACGGCGAGCTTCTGTGTGCGCTTAAATTGATACGCTTCTAGACCTCCGAAGATCATTATGATGCCCCTGAGCTGGTCATTATGGTGCCCCAAAGCTCAAGGAACTTGTCGCAGGTTTAGAACTGCGACAAGCATCAAGTTGTTCGTCGGAGGTTGGTGTGTGGATTTCTGGTGGTTTGGACACTCAAAACACTTAGTGACACATGCAATTTTATCATGGTTATCATGGTTCGGGCCTCTGAGAACTACGTCAAGAAGTACAATGTTCTTTGTGTTAGGAATGTTTAATCGGGGGTTTCTTACAACAATGGAGTAGAAAGAGATTGGCTGGGGATTACGTGGTAATATCGTAGGATTATTGGATTTGGTTTGTACCTCAGGTTGATCGATCTCTTGATCAGCCCCCGATCCCTTCTAAAGGAGCCCATGCCTCCCCTTTGTCTCAAAATGCTCCATGAAAGTTGATGCATCCCTCTTTAGCTACCTTTTCAAAGTCAAAGGATACATAACGGCTTTGCATGCAAATTTCACACTTTCATAGGCATATCAATGAGTAGTCACTATTGATGAACAACAACAGCGAGCATGATATTCAAATACCACTCCATCTCGGCCATAATCTAACAGTCCAACATCAGCAATGGAGGTTACTGGCAGCAGCGATATGCGATCTACACCCAAGGCCAAGGGAACCACTGAGCATCCAAATCATCATCTTCTAGGAGTAGTCGTTGTTTCAAGTGTGGCTCTTCAAACCATCTATGTCCAAACGGACCGAAACGAGCTTCCACATGAGCCTAGTCACCTAGGAGTACCATCGGGTGTGTACAAAACGATTTCTGAGCCTATGATACATTTGGCGCATACCATGCACCTATGTTGCACTGACACTAACACCGTCTCCAAACGGACTGAAACGAGATTCCACATGACCCACGTCACTTAGAAGTTCCATCAGGTGCGTCCAAAATGATTTCCGAGCCTATGGTACGTTCGGCGCAAACCGTGCACCTATCTTGTGTCAAGACTAGAACTATCTCTAAATAGACCGAAACGAGCTTGCACTTGAGCCTCATCACCTAGGAGTACCATCAGTGCATCCAAAATAATTTCTGAGCCATGGTATGTTTGGCGCAAACCGTGCTCCTATCTTGCAGCGACACTAATACCGTCTCCAAACGGATCGAAACATGAGTCGACATGACCCACGTCACGTAGGAGTTCCATCGGGCGCATCCAAAACGATTTCTGAGCCTATGGTACATTCCGCGCAAACCGTGCACCTATCTACGTCACGATTAGCACTATCTCCAAACGGACCGAAACGAGCTTCCACATGAACCTCATCACCTAGGAGTACCATTGGGTGTGTTCAAAATGATTTCTGAGCCTATGACACATTTGGCGGATACCATGCAACTATGTTGCACTGAAACTAACACCATCTCCAAATGGACTGAAACGAGATTCCACTTGACCCACGTCACCTAGAAGTTCCATCTGGTGCGTCCAAAATGTTTTCCGAGCCAATGGTACGTTCCGCGCAAACCGTGCACCTATCTTGAGACAAGATTAGCACTATCTCCAAACGGACCGAAACGAGCTTCCACATTAGGGATGGCAAGGGATTAATGGCTGGATTTGATGAAGAAAGTCATCAGCAAGGCAACCCTGTATATGACAATTATGGTGAAGAACAGGAGGATGAGGTTGAACTTGATGGAGATACAGGGCAAATGCTTGTGATGGAGCGTGCATTAGTAGCACGACCAAAGAATGATGAAGATTGGTGAAGACGGAGTCTAACTCGATGTACCATTGGTGGTAAGGATGCCATGTCATTATAGATAAGGTAGCTGGGAGAACACAATATCTGAAGATGCTATTAGTAAACTTCGACTTGAGAAATTCAAACACCCTCATCCGTATAATATGAGATGGTTCAAGTCTGATAAAGTATCAAAGGTTAAATTTCGATGTTTGGTGTCCTTCTCCATTGGTAACAAATTTTTTTATGAGGTTGAATGTGATGTTGTTGATATGGATGTTAGTCATATCATTTTGGGGTGACCATGGCAGTATGATCGACATGCAATGCATGATGGCCACAAGCACAAATATACTATCATGAAAAATGGGCAAAAGCTTATGTTGAATCTAGTAAATATGGAATCATCTGCGTTAATTGGTGGGGAATCATCTGGAGCTACCACTCTAGTATCTTTCAAGCAATTTTTGCATGAGGCACATGGTGAAGATATCTACTTGTTGTTAGTTGCAGAGCAGCAGAGGTGGCATAACAGTACCCAAAGAGGCACAAGGGCTGCTTCGAGAATTTCCTGATGTGTTCCCTCAAGAACTCCCATCTGTATTACCTCCTATGCGGGACATTCAACATCACATTGATCTAGTACCAGGAGCTAGTTTGCCAAACCGTCCAACTTATTGCATGAATCCAACAGAGTACAATGAGTTGAATAGACAAGTGCAAGAATGGCTTGACAAGGGCTTTATTCGTCCTGGTCTGAGCACATGTGCAGTTCCATTATTGTTGACACCAAAGAAGAATGGATCCTGGCATATATGTGTGGATTCTCGAGCGATCAATAAGATCACCATTAAGTATTGCTTTCCTATTCCTCGACTCAACAACTGTATGCTGGATAATCTGGTAGGTGTTGTGATGTTCTCCAAAATTGATTTGAAGAGTGGTTATCACCAGTTGAGAATTTATCTGGGTGATGAATGGAAGACCGCTTTCAAAACAAGAGATGGACTTTATGAGTGGCTGGTTATGCCTTTTGGTCTCTCTAATGCCCCTAGTACATTTATGCAGTTGATGAATTATGTGTTACATCCTTTTCTTGGGAAAAATTTTGTTGTTTTATATTTTGACAATGTACTCATATACAATAGCTGCATGGATCAACACCTACATTATTTGAGAGAAGTGCTCTTTGCATTAAGGCGTGAGCAATTATATGCCAACTTATTGGAGTGTGAGTTGTTGACTGAAAGCATCTAGGCCCCTAGTTGGGTTTCGGTGATTAATGAAGACATAAGATTATTGTGACTGTGGTGGTATAACCCCCGATACCCATAGGGCTGCACATGGACCGAGCCGCTAGGGGAGGCCTAGCCCACGAGACCAAACAGGGGCTGCACCACCAGTCGAGGCCCAGCGTGCAAGATGACATGAAGTACGGCATAAGTCAACGTGCCTTGCAAGACTGCGTGAAGATCCTTGGCGATCTAGGAAATCTGCTCGGATATGCTAGATTACCGTGATATCTGTAACTTTGTATCTTGTAAATCGATCAGGATAGAAACAATCGATCTGTAATCCTACCCCCAGGCTATATAAGGCGGGTAGGGACCCCCTCGTGTTCATCAAAACACACGTAATACAATCCATAGACATAGGGCGTAGGGTATTACGTCAAGCCGACGACCCGAACCTGTCTAATTGTTGTCTCTTGCGTCTTGTGTCATCATCCAGTTTCCTCATGCGCACCTCCACCGATTCATCTACTACCGTGGACATAGCCCTTGGTAGACTGCCGACTAGATTTCATCGACAGTGGCACGCCAGGTAGGGGGTGTGCGTGC